CTCCCAAAGTGCTGGGATTACAGGCCTGAGCCACCGCACCCGGCCTGGATTTTATTCTTATGCACATGTTATAAGCATAACTAGGCTGTTCTGAGAGATTCCTAAACTTTTAACCTTCCTGGATGATTGATTAATACAAATGTATTCTTGCACTATTATCTAGGCATATAGAATGAATAAAGTTTGCCTCCTACCCAGAAAGAACAGAGATTCCAGGCTGGCAAGCAGAGCAAACTGATGACTGCACTAGTGTTTTCAATGCCGCAGTCAGACAAAGTACTTTGGCTGGAAAAAATCAGAAATATGGCATTTTAAATAAATATTTTTTTGTTTTTGTATATCTCCATGTTGTTCAGGCTGGTCTTGAACTCGCGACCTCATGTGATCCACCTGCCTCAGCCTCCCAAAGTGCTGGGATTACAGGCAAGAGCTAACACACCTGCCCTTTTTTCTTTCTTTTCTTTTTTTTTTTTTTTTGAGCTTGTTGCCTAGGCTGGAGTGCTGTGGTGTGATCTCAGCTCATTGCAACCTCTTCCAGGTTCCAGCGATTCTCTTGGGTCAACCTCCTGAGTAACTGGGATTACAAACACCTGCCACCATGCCCAGCTAATTTTTATATTTGCAGTAGAGACAGGGTTTCACCATCTTATGCAGGCTGGTCTCCAACTCCTGACCTCAGGTGATCTGTCCCCCTCAGCCTCCCAAAGTGCGGGGATTACAGGCATAAGCCACCCCATGCCCAGCCTGTAATAAATCCTATACAACCATTGGTGGTTTAGTGATTAGCATAGCTGCCTTCCATGAAATAAATCTTATAGACAAAAATTGACCCTTCTGAGTCAATGCTTTGAAAAGCTTACTTGTTAATACCTTGTTGGAAACATTCTACCTAGATAAAAAGAAAGAAATGTAGAGAGAGTTTGACTTCAAAACTTGATTTTTAAGTCTGGGCACAAACCTGTAATCCTAATACTTTGAGAGGCTAGGGCAAGAGGACTGTTTGAGCCCAGGAGTTTCAGGTTGCAGTGAGCTTTGGTAAAGCCACTGCACTTCAGCTTGGGTGACAGGGCGAGACACTGCCTCAAAAAAAATCTTGACTTTTAGGTGGGCATAGTAGTGTGCACCAACCCAGCTACTCAGGAGGCTGAGGCATGAGGATCACTTAAGCCCAGGAGTTTGAGGCCATCCTGGGCAACCATAGCAAGACCCATCTCCCTGCCTCCAAAAAAAAAAAAAAAAAAAAAAAAGGAAAAAAAAAAAAAAACATCATTTTCATGAAGAACAAAAGGAAAAGGACTATCATAAAATAGGTATATCCTGGCTTTTGTCAGTTAACTGAATTAACTTTAAAATGTATTGAGGCTGGGGGTGGTGGCTCACACCTGTAATCCTAGCACTTTGGGAGACCGAGGTGTGTGGATCACCTGAGGTTAGGAGTTCAAGACCAGCCTGGCCAACATGGTGAAACCCCATCTTTAAAAAAAATAATAAGGCCGGGCGCGGTGGCTCACACTTGTAATCCCAGCACTTTGGGAGGCCGAGGCGGGGAATCACAAGGTCAAGAGATCGAGACCATCCTGGTCAACATGGTGAAACCCTGTCTCTACTAAAAATACAAAAATTAGCTGGACATGGTGGCGCACGCCTGTAGTCCCAGCTACTCGGGAGGCTGAGGCAGGAGAATTGCTTGAACCCAGGAGACGGAGGTTGCGGTGAGCCAAGATCGCGCCATTGCACTCTAGCCTGGGTAACAAGAGCGAAACTCTGTCTCAAAAAAAAAAAAATAAATTAATAATAATAATAATAATAGGCCGGGCGCGGTGGCTCAAGCTGTAATCCCAGCACTTTGGGAGGCCGAGGTGGGTGGATCACGAGGTCAAGAGATCGAGACCATCCTGGTCAACATGGTGAAACCCCATCTCTACTAAAAATACAAAAAATCAGCTGGGCATGGTGGTGCGTGCCTGTAATCCCAGCTACTCAGGAGGCTGAGGCAGGAGAATTGCCTGAACCCAGGAGGCGGAGGTTGCGGTGAGCCGAGATCGTGCCATTGCGCTCCAGCCTGGGTAACAAGAGCGAAACTCCGTCTCAAAAAATTTAAAAAAAAAAAAAAAATACAAAAATTAGCTGGGCGTGGTGGCACATGCCTGTAGTCCCAGCTACTTTGGAGGCTGAGGAAGGAGAATTGCTTGAACCCAGGAGGCGGAGGTTGCAGTGAGCCGAGATTGTACCACTGCACTCCAGCCTGGCGACAGAGTGAGACTGTCTCAAAATCTAAAAAAAAAAAAAAAAAAAGGCCGGGCACGGTGGCTCAAGCCTGTAATCCCAGCACTTTGGGAGGCCGAGGCGGGTGGATCACCTGAGGTCAGGAGTTCAAGACCAGCCTGGCCAACATGGTGAAAACCTGTCTCTATATTTTTTAAAAAATAAATAAAATAAATAAAAATTTAAAAAGAGCCGGGCGCAGTGGCTCACGCCTATAATCCCAACACATATATTTTAGAAGAGACACAGCCAGGCGCGGTGGCTCAAGCCTGTAATCCCAGCACTTTGGGAGGCCGAGGCGGGTGGATCACGAGGTCAAGAGATCGAGACCATCCTGGTCAACATGGTGAAACCCCGTCTCTACTAAAAATACAAAAAATTAGCTGGGCATGGTGGTGCATGCCTGTATTCCCAGCGACTCAGGAGGCTGAGGCAGGAGAATTGCCTGAACCCAGGAGGCGGAGGTTGCGGTGAGCCGAGATGGTGCCATTGCACTCCAGCCTGGGTAACAAGAGCGAAAGTCCGTCTTATTAAAAAAAAAAAAAAAAAAAAAAGGAAGAGACAGAATTTCACCAGGTTGGCTAGGCTGGTCTTGAACTCCCGACCCTCAGGTGATCTACCTGCCTCGGCCTCCCAAAATGCTGGGATTACAGGCGTGAGCCACCACACCCACCCAGCCTGTTCGTTTTTGCTGTCGCCCAGGCTGTAGTGCAGTAGTGCAATCTTGGCTCACGGCAACCTGCTCAGGTTCAATCAATTCTTGTATCTCAGCCTCCCAAGTACCTGTGATTACAGGCGTCAGCCACTGCACCTGACCAGAATTGTAATTTTGAATTCAGCAATCAAGGAAGACCACATTGAGTAGATCTGAAAAAGGAGGAAGCCGGAGAAAGATTGCAGGCTTAAGAAAAAGCAAGTGCATAGGCTCTGAAGGCTGAATTGTGTCCGTGTAAATAAAATACTTGCATTATGTTTCACAAAGGCGAACAATTGTAAATCATCTAAATGTCTATCAGAAAGGATAGGTCCCAGTACTGTGGCTTTTGCCTGTAATCCCAGCACTTTGGGAGCCAAGCTGAGAGGATCAGGAAGTCAGGAAATCAAAACCATCCTGGCCATGGTGAGACCCCATCTCTACTAAAATACAAAAAATTAGCCAGGCGTGGTGATGGGCGCCTGTAGTCCCAGCTACTCAGGAGTCTGAGGCAGGCAAATCACTTGAACCCAGGAGGCAGAGATTGCAGTGAGCTGAGATCGTGCCATTGCACTCTAGCCTGGGCCATAGTGAGACTCCATCTCAAAAAAAAAAAAAAAAGGGCAGTTTGCCCATGTGTGTGTGAAGAGAGACAGTCAGTGTGGAGGCCACAGGGGACTCGCCAGGATGAGCAGCACCTTAGCTAAGATGGCGGAGATAGAAGCTGAGATGGCTCGGACTCAAAAGAACAAGGCCACAGCACATCACTTAGGGCTGCTTAAGGCTCGTGTTGCTAAGCTTCGTCGAGAACTCATTACTCCAAAGGGTGGTGGTGGTAGAGGTCCAGGAGAAGGTTTTGATGTGGCCAAGACAGGTGATGCTCGAATTGGATTTGTTGGTTTTCCATCTGTGGGGAAGTCAACACTGCTCAGTAACCTGGCAGGGGTGTATTCTGAGGTAGCAGCCTATGAATTCACTGCTCTGACCACCGTGCCTGGTGTCATCAGATACAAAGGTGCCAAGATCCAGCTCCTGGATCTCCCAGGTATCATCGAAGATCCCGGCGGGCGCGGTGGCTCAAGCCTGTAATCCCAGCACTTTGGGAGGCTGAGGTGGGTAGATCACGAGGTCAAGAGATCGAGACCATCCTGGTCAACATGGTGAAACCCCGTCTCTACTAAAACTACAAAAAATTAGCTGGGCATGGTGGTGTGTGCCTGTAATCCCAGCTACTCAGGAGGCTGAGGCAGGAGAATTGCCTGAACCTGGGAGGCGGAGGTTGTGGTGAGCCGAGATCGCGCCATTGCACTCCAGCCTGGGTAACAAGAGCGAAACTCCATCTCAAACAAAAAAAAAAAAAAAAAAA